CATACACAGGGTACCTTGAGATTTTCTATAACTTGGTAGTGAAATGTTCCTTATTATAGCCTAAAAAATCTAGTTTGTAATAGACTGAATTTTGGTTAAATACATTTGCAAAATTATTCATGATTGCAAAGGCTGCATAATAGTCTAAAATAAGACATTTTTATTTTTGGTTGACAAGTTATCAATATACTTTTCAATACTATCTAAGAATTCATTAACAGGCATGTTTGGCTTCCTGTAGATGACGCCGGCAACACTATTCTTTGTATCAAGGAATGGAGATTCACAGTTGATGATTTCCATCTCATCAATACTCGAAAATACCAAAGACTTGTTGAAATGATATGCGACATCTCCATCTTAGTGATACATGCATTTAGAGGTGATATTTGTATAGTGGAAAATGGATGGTGAGAAGAACTAGTTATCATATTACGTTTACCTGTATTGAACTGTTCTAAACTTACTGATTGAAAGTTGAATTCCTGGGTTGAGTTCACAATGTCAGATAATACAATGTAATATTATGGCAAAATAGTCATCGACAAGTTGTTGAATTCGGTCAATGTCTAGCTATGACATCTTGAAGGCTGATGTCGAATCATTTTTCTTGGCAAATATTTTCCCGTTGTCCGCCCAGATAAAGGACGCTTTTTACGCTTTCCGTTTTCATGATGGAAAATGTGCTTATTAGCTGGCGTGAGGTTCTTATAAATACAAATAACATTTTACTGTTCTTACCGGTATTTATATCACTGTTCGAAATTTCTTTAATGTGTTTTCTTGCATGGTATATCCTATTTCTGGTGGTTCTACGTACGACTTTTTGAATAACGATCGGAGGTTGCTCTCGACTTTTGTGGAAAGGTGTCGATGGTAGGCAATGGCTGACGTCGAAATCGGATTGTGTTATTGAAATACAGGTAGCAGCAGCAACCTTTATAATGATGTAATCTGTATCTGCATTGTCCTCTTTTCATTTTTTTATTTACGTTTTATACTCGTCGAAGATTTTACCTGTAAAATCCACACTTGAATGCAGCTTGTTCATCTGCTTTTCCATTGATGATAATGTGCTAATCTTCTCGTTCAGTTACACCAAGAGCGACAAGATGTCAGCATATTGTAATCCTCTGTGTTATTTGTCCACCATATTGGGTGAAGTGGGTGAGTTATCAGTTGAGCCTGGGTTTAGCTTTAGATCTCCTTGGCATAGTTTCACTCTTCTATTCGTTCCACAATCGTCTCACTATGATGGCTCCCATTTTTATTTTTTATTAGCTCCACTGTTGACTTTGTCGAGTGGAGCTTATCATACGAGTGATTGCCCATCGTCGTCCGTGTCAATGTTTTACTTTTTCGACTTCTTCTTGATAACTACAAGCCTGAATGCTTTGATACTTGGTGTATATGTATCTTGGGTAGGTCTTAGATTTGTTCATTTCATGATGATATCTTTAATTCTCAAATTTTGGGAAATATTTCTGTAATTTTTGGTAAAAAGTGATATTTTTGACTTCTTGTTGTAAACCGCAAGTCCAATTGCTTTGATATTATACATATAGGTACCTCCGGTGAACGTTTCTCAGATTTGTTCATTTCATGGTGATATCTTTAATTCTCTAATTTTGGTGAATATTTTTGTCAGTTTTGGTAAAAAGTGATATTTTCGAATTCTTGTTGAAAACCGCAAGTCCAATTGCTTTGATATTATACATATAGATACCGCAGGTGGACGTCTTTCAGATTTGTTCATTTCATGGTGATATCTTTAATTCTCTGATTTTGGTAAATATTTTTGTCATTTTTGGTAAAAAGTGATATTTTCGACTTCTTGTTGAAAACCGCAAGTCCAAATGCTTTGATATTGTACATATAGGTACCTCAGGTGGATGTCTCCCGATTTGTTCATTTCATAGTCATTTTGGTGAATATTTGTGTCATGTTTGGTAAAAAACTCATCTAATTGCTTTAAGATTTGCTCACCAGATTGCATAAAATATTCAAGCGCTTATTTGTGATATATGTTCCAAAAACACACATACAAAAATAGTATTATTTTATAATTGTAGAAACAAAATCTGCTCTGAATTACTTGTATTCATGATCCTGAATTAGTGGTAATTAAAATGTAAATTTATTGGAATTATACTGTGTACAACCTATAAATGCAAGACAAAACAACAGATGGCTACTGGTTCAGGAAAAGAATGGTATAAATGATAATTTATACAAAATGAAAACATGTACATATATTGTGTGTATGTTTGTATATTGGCTCCATTTATGAAGTGTGTTACTATAATAAAAAAATCTTTTACTTCACATTTAAATAGTGGCGTGTAAAGATTATTAAATTGCATTTAATTGAAATAATTATGGTGATGCTCTGTGTGTTTATGTTGAGGTCATTATTATACCTTAAATAAAATAATAACAATTATTGAATTTGTATTGAATGTGTTGTGATATTAACATAGTCTGCATCAATTATCACCAGATCAACAGACTTCCTTGATTTATTTTATGTTGTTCAGAAAATGCACATCCTGATTTATTCACCAGTGGATTGAATGGGGAAAATGTATTGTATCTTAAAATTTAGTTATTAAAAAATAAGTTATAAAACAAGCATTTGTAGTGTTGAAAATTATTTGGAGTGGATTCCTATGGACAATGTTTTTTTTTGGATTTTACAATTCTAAATAAGCACAAAGTAACAATTTCTGTAAATGTGGTAAACTTTTGACCCACATTTAATTAGTAGAATACCTCTGTCCTTTTCATGAAAAATGCGCCATCAACGTTGAATCCAGACGGTGCTGTACATTTCCCAGAAACCTTTGCGTACACAACAGCCAGCCGAGTCGGCCATTTTTTTCTTCGGATTCTTCCTCGTTTTGTATTATACGGAAAGTTCAGAGGTTTATATCAAATAGACCTTTAAATATGTTCGTTATCGGCTATCCACGCGTCTGTAGACTGCATGATAACTTAGAGTTTCTTGTGCATATCTGAGCAGACATTTTCGAGAGAAAACAACTTATTTTTTCTCGTGACGTAATTTTAGTTTCCATGTGACATTCATCGACAATAATACTTTTGTCGCGCTTTAGTGTTCCAAAAATTCCAAAGTTGTAAATGACTAAATAATTCCATAAGTAAGACTGTGTGCCCGACATCCAATCTTACTGTCATTATTGCACTTTAATTTGTTGTCCATAAAGAACACTGGTTATGATTAATTGTTAGAATTGTGCATTAGTGTTGTGGAGTCTACTCTCACTAATAAAAAGCAGATCTTAAAGTCTGTTACTGAAATGTTAAATGTTTCTGAACTACACAATATACATAGTACACAAACACAGAAATACAGAAAGTAATGTAGCAAATAAACCAAGTGTTTCCAAAAATACCACTACGCCAGAAGATAATAGTATAATTGAAAGTACCAATGACAGAACGATACTACTAAGTGCATGGAAAAAGGACCCTGCTCTACAGTTTATCTTTGGTAGTTTCCACCAAGGAAGCCAAATATTTAGTTCACGGTCTAGAGGTGTACAATGTACATGCAATGCATTAGTTTGTTTATGTATATTACAAGGGAAAGATTTAATGACATCCAATGATTTAGATTATATTCTTCGTAAAGGAGATGACCTGTATCATTCTGTTGTGACTGAATTGCAATATAATAAAGATGCAAATCCTCAGATATTGATGATAAGTGAATTGCCTAGTAAATTATTTATTAATCCATACGAGTATACTATTGAGAAAGGAGAATGCTATACAGGTATGGTTAATGCAATAGCAGACTCTCATGATGACGTGTTTTGTACACTGAGCGAAGCTACGAGTAGAGCTTTCAGAAAATGTTCTACAAATATTGTAATAGTTGGAGGTTTTAGCTTGGCATTATTTAAAAAAGTACATGGTAATTATGCTATTTTTGATTCACATAGTCATGGA